GATTGTACTTGGTAGCAGAAGATCCCAGTCAGAGTACAAACTATCAGACTGCTTCTCCACATTGTCAACGAGGATGCTGTAATTAGCATCAGGCTGGATGACAAATGTATAGACATGAGTCCATTGATCTGTCTCACATGGGACTTCCTTCTTGATCAAGTGGTTTGTCCCCGTGTAGGTGAGAATAGCATGGATTTTCTTGGTGCTGTAGCCACAGATATCTGGCCCAAACATGATGCTGCATTCACCCATAAATTGCAACCAAACCAGCAACTTCAACAGGGACAACTTACCAAATAGGAAACACCTGCCAGATGGCTGAAGCGTATGATGTTAACTCTATGGAGTATCACCACCAAATTTCTTCTGATCAATGTCACCACTAAGCAATATCATGTGTCCACCACCACAGTCAAGTTTTTGTTCATGTTTGACGGAGAACTGGAAAACTAATGTCTTGTTCTTGTTGCTGAATTCAGGGAACTCAGCTGAGATGGCATAGAACCTGTGGTCTTTAGTGGTCTGGATACCTGCAATACAACATAGAAGTAAATCCCATTGCACACCATAAATTCAGTATATGCAAAATCACATACGTATGTATTAGACAAACATATGTATGTACTCAGACTCGTCAACCAATGACACATTTACTGTAACGACCTGGGTCTTTGTACCCAAGTCGTTAGCCTACGTACTATCCGCTTTGGGTGGGCCTTGCGCCCACTTAGCCCTCACGACTTTCTGTTGTGTCCCTCCAGGATTCGAACTCATAACATTTCCCTTAAATAAGATTTAAGTTGAATCTTGGTACCAATTGGGCAAGTTGTTCAATTGGTACCAGGATTCAACTTAAGTACTTAAGGAAAATGTTATGAGTTCGAATCATGGGGGATCCAATTGGTACTAGGATTCAACTTAAGTCTTACTTAAGGGGAAAGTTATGGGTTCGAATTTTGGAGGACGCGACAGAAAGTCGTGAGAGGTAAGTGGGAGCAAGATCCACCCAGAGCGGACAGTACGTAAGCTAACGACTTGAGTACAGAGACCCGGGTCGTTACATTTACCTTTGTCGGTAGAGTCTCCATTCCATTTACCAGATGTAAAGTTCCACTCTCCAGCCATGTTCTGGTCTTTCTTCCAGTCAGATTCGACCCATCGATTCTCTCATCCATCTTCATATTTCATAAAGCAATACATTCAATATGACACAACCAATCTAATAGCAGTTAAAGCTAGCTATCAATATTATAAATCTCTTTATTCCTCTCTTCCATGTGACCATCTTATCAAGTTCATCAAACAAAGAAAGTCTTCTTATCCATAGTTATTGTTGTTTAACCAAGCAATGAGCTTCAGTTTCTTTTCTTCTCTCTTCTCATGTTACTGCTAAATCATGACTTGTCCTTTCTCACATTCGTCCGACTCATGCCCTCAATTTTAGAATTCTTATCTTCAAATACCGTGACACACTTGATAGACTCTATCAGTTAATGACTCTTAAGAAATTTAACCATTTTTCCTGATTTCTAAAGGTTGATGTAGATGTTATTGCATATTTAGAGACAATTTGCTGACATTCTGACTAACAGATTAGAATATGCAACGTTTAGTAAAATTCATGCTAATTTTTGTTAAATTCTTGGTTTCCTTGTTCAATTGGTGAACGGTCGGGCGGAAAGCTCTGTTTTCTCTTCCCCACATTAAGTTCCATCACATTTGTTGAGGTTAGAATTGCCCGAATTTTGTTAAGCTAGTCTATTCCTCCATGTTTAGGTGGAGTGATAGTTTAACCCATGTTGTTAGGCCAGTTTATTCCTTCATCTTTAGGTGCAAAGTTGGTTAAACCTATGGACCTTAAGAGTGCTATTGCTGACATGATCTGTCATTGGGAGGTTTTTAGTTATGAAAAGCTGCTTGAGGATTTGGATATGGCCTTGGGTTCTATTTGTGAGAACTGTCCTTCAAGTCTTGATGATGGTTCTATCATCTTAGTGGTGAGTGGTTTTCCTTCAAACCAACTTCTATTCTTTTTGTTAAGTTAGTCACTAGGCATTGTGCATCTAACTAAATAGCCCTCTTAGGGACTTCCCTATTATTGGACTCATATTTCTTTGTTCAGAAGTCTATTGGATGCTACATCATGGGCCCTCAGAGGAAAACATCGTGCACAGAGAAAATCTTCATATAGGAAGAAATTTTTGTTCAGGAGCAGAATGGAGATATAACGCATTGTGGAGATCTAATTGATAAGAGATGCCTCCATGTAACGGATAAAATTTTGAGCAATAAGTCTTATAATCATCATTTTCCAAGCCTCGGGAGCTCAAAAGTCTATTAGCTCCAAAATGGAAAACAAGCATGTGATCAAAGAAACACTGAAAAGTGCACAATCCATAGGACAAAAACCAGATAGTCCTACGAGAAATTTGACACATGGAGAAATAAAATTCAGTATTCTCCTCCATGGTAAACGACTTACGAAATCTTTACACATTGCATCCAACCTGGCAGACATATCATAAGGTCCCACTTCAGTCAATCAGTCATTTTCAGTAAAGGCCAGGGGACAGATCTCTTCGTCCTCCAGCCCTAGCTCGCCACTTGCCAGACAAGACCTCTCATTGGGTCAGGAATGACCAACAAGAGTGCATGGTATCGGAGGAAGCCTACTATCTCCTCCCACTAATCATGACTGCCATATTGTGCAACTGAATGGATACTTACAAGAGAAATTTAAGTAGACACCATTCTCTTGTGTAGACACCATTGAGGGGATCACTTCCTCCATGAAGGCCACCTCTCCTTGTATATAATATACAGATTCCAGATATACAATACTCCACATTTGCAACGCACCCAAAAAAACAAAAGAGTAGACATGCCCCCTCTCTTATAGTAACCACAGACATGTGGAGTGTAATGAGGAAGACACCATAATGGTGTCAATCATTTGCATTTTGCTAGCACTAGCCATCTACTCTCTAATTTCTTTAATAGTTCTTCACTATATTTTTCTCATTTAATTTCTCCGAAGAGATCCTTAATGAATGTCAATACAGAAGAATTAGAAATCTTTTCCATCAATGATTAATGTAGATTATTTTAATTTTTAAGCTATTTCATAATCCAATATTATGTCAGTCAGTATAAGAAGATTGTTAAAAAATAAGTTACATATTGATTAAGGATGAAATCAGTAATCTATATATCTTAACAAGGTTGACCTTTTAAGCTCCAACTAGCAATTCACTTAGAGCTGAAATGGGCATTTGAGTTAAATGAGCCAGAATCTTGTACGGTTTGTTAAGGGATAAATCCTATCCTGATTAAAGATGACATCAATGACCAACGTAATATAACACAACCATTCTGAATTTTTCTAGTAAGTCGAAAATTCAAACATTTTTTAAGATCATGTAGGCAAGTATAAAATTACCTGTGCCAAAGATAGACCAAGATCATCCAGAATTCCAGACAGGGCTGGTGATGAAAATCCAATCTGCATATTTCACATTTACCAGACCTTGATCACTAACCACATGAAAGTTTATCGGCACTCAAAATTAGTGTTTGTGAAACATACAGCATAACCAACAACATATGAACCTAAAACCGCGACAAGGGTGCTGAGTAAAACAACAATGGTGGCAGAACTGCCATGGCTATCGCCATCATCACCTTCAGTTTCAATATCATTATCGGGCCTTAGCAAAGGACTGCTGCCATCTTCATCTGCTATGCTTTGGGACTCCATTATGCGAACGGAGGAACACTTTGATCAGAGCCTGAAAGTCTAGGGATAGTTGGGAGGAGAGAGAATGAAGATATTTACAGTACAGTACTCATTGATGTCGGATGGGTGATGCTGATAACGTAAGAATTCACAGCCGTCTCTTGCCGTTTTGGATTTTGTCTCTCTCAAGCAATTTCTGACAAGACACTACAGGTCAAAGTACGATAGGTTCTTTTACGTGGCGGGAATTTATTTTATTTTATTTTTTTATTTTTTTCCAAAATGGTTCATCAATTAGAACTGTCGTTGCGAGTTGCAGCGCTACAGCTCAATCGGTGATGTGGAGCTTTAGTCAAGATAGTTTCGTTGTAATTGATTGGTTCAATGAATTATGCTATTTGTACACGTGTATACTCCTCTACGTTTAGCAAGACTCTAAGATCAATAACCCACGCTTGTGTTTCGTTACATGTACAAAAGAATTATCATAGTCAAACAACAAACATTTATTGAATGTTGGATAAAAAATAATTTTAAACTTGATAATGCAGTGACTACACCAATGTATTTGTCATTCCTTCTGTCAAAACCTTCTGTACAATAAGCTTTATTTGCCCACACCCACTTGATTTGTTATAAAGCATGACGCGATGGTGACGAAGCTAGATTTCACGGATATCAAATTTGGCTCTGGAGATTCCATGACTCAAGGCAACCTTTTACTCACTTTTAGTTAGGTAAGTTCGAATAATTGACACATGCCCATGCTTATGAGTAGAATGTTAGCGAATATTATCTAACTTTGGTAGGCTTAGTGACAAACCCAAAAAAGTGACATATCTGCTTGTAAATTATCTCATAGTTGGCGAATTGTACTAAATTGAAGTTCAAGCATGATGAAAATTCAATAACCTCCAGCATAATTTTAGATTATCTAACGTGAGAAATGGATTGACATGTTGGCAATAGTCGTTAGGGCATGTTAGCAAGCACACGAATGAAACTTATTGCTAGTAAACTATATTACAGTGACTTAATTGCACCAAATTTAAGTGTAATAACCCAGTTGTGAGTATCACAAAAATTCAGTGCCTCGAGTGCAATTTACCGTCCATTTTAACTAGATAAACATTAATACATGACTAGGAGGAATAAAGCAGCTTGCAATCCTGGAATTAGAATACCAACGACGTTTAAGGCCGACTTTCTCCGAAACCACCAATCGCCAACAGAGTTCACTCAAAACACCCACTATATATACAACGGCTCATTTGATTGGATATTATCCAAGCGATATTTAAATATTTCACATAAATTTTCCTAGTTGAATAGAGGGTTTTTAGCTATGGCAGAAAATGGGCGAAAAATTTTAGTAGCAATCGATGAAGGAGATGAAAGCATGTACGCACTCACATGGTGTCTCAACAATGTTATTAGTGAGCATTCCAAAGATACCCTTATCCTCTGCTACGTCAAACCACCTCGAGCTGTCTCCACAGCCATGGAGGGAACAGGTAAAATTGTGCAGGATTGGCATTTTTTGAAATGGATATATGAAGGGGGGTAATGTAATGTAATATTTTTAAAATTATGCAGTATGGGCATTTTCTCCTGATGTAATGGCGAGCATCGAGAGGTACAGCAATGGTGTGGCTCAGTGCGTGATTGACAAGGCGAAAAGAGCTTGCAAGCACTTGAATGATGTGAGTTTGGTAAATTTGCGATTTCTTCAAGGGTAAAACAGTCATTTAGAAAATAATAGTACTATGTGGTTTGGTGCGTGTAGGTTAAAGTGGAGATAGCGGTGGAGCAGGGAGATCCAAGGGACATGATTTGTGAATTGGCTGAGAAATTGAATGTGGATATGTTAGTGATGGGAAGTCATGGTTATGGTCTCATTAAGAGGTATCAGATTTTAACTTTTTATTGGAAGTTGCTTTTTTTCCAAATTTCAAATGGGATTTCGGCAAAAAAAAAAAAAAAAGTTTGGAATAGAAATTATTTTATTTTGTGGGTTATATGATATTGTTTTGTGAAAATGGCAGGGCATTTCTTGGGAGTGTGAGCAATCACTGTACGCAAAACGCGAAATGTCCAGTTTTAGTAGTGAAGAAGCCCAAATCAAATGGCAGCAATGACAAACACTAATAATTACAAAGCTGTTATTGGTTTGCATGTACGGAAGTTGAACTTCCTTTTTGATCAAGCGTGGGGTCCACTTTTGTTTTCCACTTTTCGTCCTTGTTTGGGTTCTGTAATTTGGTTCCTGTGGTAGTGAGTTTTCTAGGGCTTCGTTTCTTGTCTTATTCAACTTATAGTGGCTTTTGCTCACTTTTGCTTATGCCCAATTTTTGTTCAAAAAACTGTCCTCGAGTGTTTGACGTCCAAAATGTTCATAAATCTAAGCTTTTCGCTTGAGGTTGTTAAAATGTTAATAAAAGTTACGGATTTCCTAAAATTTCTAGTTGAAAATAAATTTTAAAAATGAAGGTCAAATAGGGGTTAAATCTGCGAACTATTTTCATAAATCTAAACAGAACAGAACAAGTTTCTTTATTGGTCGCGAGTAACATGGCTTTGAAGAAATGATGGGAATCAGCACCATCCTCAATTCGTTCCTTTCGCTTGTTAAGAAGAGTTACAGCTAAAAATTGAATGTTAAGAAAGGAAAAAATGTTGAGCCCTAAGCAATTCGTCTTGATAGTACATTGTGAGCCGAACATCACTCGGTGCTTCCTACAATTCATCCTGCACAATTAACGTAGAACAAGAAAATGAAGTAAGAAAAGCATCGCGCCACAATGTAAAGCATTAAAGTAAAACCAGCAGCATAGGAAAGAGTCATACATGTACATCATCATTCACTGAAGCATCATCATCTTCCATTGTGTCTGACTTGATGTCATCATCAGCATCGACATCTTTGCCATCGCCATCACCATCCTCAGCCTGAACAAGAGCACTTGGATCATAATTTAAACGACAGATTGTCTATAAATTTAAATGAAGGCTTACATCGGAATCAACTGGATCATCCTTTGGTTGCTGAACAAAATAAAAAATGGTTAGAGACATGCAATGAAAGGCATATAACTTCACAGATCTTGCTTTCAGTCATCAAAATATTATCCCACTAAATTTTGTTCCAACGTCAGAAATGATGAATGAAGTACCTCCTCCTCTCTCTTCTTTTCCGCTTCATCAAATGCAGCCTTCTCAGCCTGCAAAATGGAGATGTATTCATGTCTCAATTTTCATATCCTGGGACAGGAGTTTTAATGAAAAGGGGAAGATAAGAGGCCTCTAACAGATAAAAGCAATATACGTCCTTGTGTTTGCCCCATGTTTCTTCAGCTACATTCTTGGCATACTCCACATCATCGCATAACAAGATATTGTCAAACAGGGTTCCAGATTTCACCTAAAGTTTTAATTCATTTGCTCGGGTTGAATTGTGATTATTTAATGGAACACGGAATTAACAGAAATTCTTTTTATTTACCTGCCACAACTCAATGCCCACATACTTCAAATTTGGGAAAACATATAGATCTGGGTCGTCTTTGAATTCTATAATCACAAATAATAACATACTAGATAGAGTAAAAACTCGTACATTATAAAGATAAAAGTTCTGACAAGAGATGTTACAGACAGACCTGGATTATCAATAATTGGTGCCTTCCATTTGCCCTTGTAGTTGGCGTTCTTCACTTTCTGGGCAATAGAAATATAGACCATTTAATAAATCACTCGGATTAGCAAAAGCAACATTTGCAACACCGAGAGATTCTACAAACCTTTGGCTTCCATGGACCCCAGTACTCGGGGTTGGTAATAGTTGGCGGTGTCCATTCACCATCTTCCTCATCATCGTAGTCCTCGGGCTGCAGTTGTAAACCATCATAATTGAGTAAAAGTAGTGTAGGAAGTTACATGGATATGTAGCAGAGCAGGAGAAATAGATTATATGCCTTCTTGGCATCTGGATCAGGCATCTCCTTTGGGATGTCATCATAACCCTGCCGGCATCAACTCACAAGTCATAAACATGTGCTCGCGCATTAAACAGTGCATCATTGTAGAGAAGGCCATGAAACTTTGAAGTTCGGTTACCTCAGGCTTCTTGTCTTCAGGGTCAGGAATGTACTCCCTGTCATCCCAATCTTCGGGCTATCATCAACATACAGCAAGACTTTCACTGAACCAATGGAAGTACAAAATTGTCGAGTATAATTGCACAAAGAAATACCTTCTTGGCCTCTGGATCCTTGATTGTACTTGGTGGCAGAAGATCCCAGTCAGAGTACAAGCTACCAGACTGTTTCTCCACATTGTCAACGAGGATACTGTAAGTAGCATCAGGCCGGATGATAAATGTATAGACATGAGTCAGTTGATCTGTCTCACATGGGACTTCCTTTTTGATCAAGTGGTTTGTCCCCTTGTAGGTGAGAATAGCATGGATTTTCTTGGTGCTGTAGCCACAGATATCTGGCCCAAACATGATGCTGCATTCACCCATATATTGCAACCAAACCAGCAACTTCAACAGGGACAACTTACCAAATAGGAAACACCTGCCAGATGGCTTGAGCATATGATGTTACCTGTATGGGGTATCACCGCCAAATTTCTTCTGATCAATGTCACCACTGAGCAATTTCATGTATCCACCACCACAGTCAAGTTTCTGTTCATGCTTGATGGAGAACTGGAAAATTAATGTCTTGTCCTTGTTGCTGAATTCAGGGAACTCGCCTGAGATGGCATAGAACCTGTAGTCTTCGCTGGTCTGGATACCTGCACTAAGACAAAGAAGTAAATCCCATTGCACACCATATATTCAGCATATTGCACAAACATATGTATGTACCTAGTCTCATCAACCAATGACACGTTTACCTTTATCGGTAGAGTCTCCATTCCATTTACCAGAGGTAAAGTTCCATTCTCCAGCCATGTTCTGGTCTTTCTTCCAGTCAGATTTGACCCACCGATTCTCCCATCCATCTTCATATTTCACAAAGCAATACATTCAATATGACTCGACCAATTTAACAGCAGTTAAAGCTATCAATATTATAAAAGAGAGTTAAATGTCCCCAGTTTTTTATGAACAAAAGTGATCACTTAAAATCTGAATAGAGAAGTATCGCTTGTCCAAGGCAAAACGAAAGCTTCGTTTAAGTGAACTAAATGGCACATTTATTTCACGAGTCTCCTGTTTCTATATGCATTGCTTATTTCACCTTTGTTTCCCCATTTTGAAGTTTGTAAAGTTTCCGCCACACATACATTACTAAAACCATTCTTCTTCATTGAAAATAGAAGTTCTAAATAATTCAATTATCTAGCCTTTGTTTATAGAGGAAAATGAAATGCGGCAATGAAAATTTCAGTATATCCGTCGATGTCTGTTCAAACAGATAGAATAAATCTTTAGCAATGAAATGTGGATCCAAATTGAACGTTCATGGGACAAATTATATGAATAATCATTGTTTACATGTCAAATTGATAGCACCTCGCAACAATTAATACAGCAGTTTTAAAATTATAGCACTAAAACTATAAATTTGCAACCTCAGTTATCAGATCCATTTAGAAAAAGTCAGAGCTGCATACGCATTGTTAAAACTGATACTAGAATCCTTCAATCAAAAAAGATAAGATCAACTCATAAGCGGAAATCATGTCCCATTCCTTCACAAATTGTATCGAAAGATATTGATAAACCGAAATTCCATGGAAATGTTATCAATTTGATTAGATTTAACTAATTACAGCATTAGTTGTTCAGATAGAGAAAAAGCACAGCACCATTAAAACGCTCTTCAAAGAATACTTCCGCAGAAGAGATCACGAGAAGCAAAGACAGAACGACGGCTAGCGCGAGATAATTAGCGTTCATCAATGCTCTTCTTTGTAATGTCGCCATGGCTCAGGAGAGAACTAGAGAGAGTGAAGGAGCGAGCTATTTATGTACGTGAATGATTCCGAGTGCATAGAATGCTCAGCAGATGGAATATACGGCTTGGCGTGGACGAGTAATATTTTGACAAGCTGGAGTAAAGTCTCATGGATTTGACGTGGCAACTCTGATTGGGGATTACGAATAGGATAGTGACACTTGTACACTTCTAAATGACTAAATTAGCCTTGGATTTTTGAGTTATTGTACCATTTTGCCATTGAATTCTAAGGAATGCGCTGAGTTCAAATGACGTGGACATTTGTTTTTCTAGTTAAGTAGAGCAAGCAATAAATTTTTAAGCTAGGGATCAACACCAAAATAATTGCATTTCTATTTTTACTTCTAGTTATTCCTTTGAGTGTTTCAAAAGTCGGATTTACTAATTTGACAATTCATCTTTACTTTTATTACACGCTGAACCAAATATTCTAGAGACTTGGTTGAGATTTGTTGTCTTGAATTTACGGTATCGAAATACATTTTTAACGTCTTGACGACACATGAACAATGTAGCAAGTTGAGATATTAGATCGTTTTAATAATATCAATGCATTTGAAGAGCTTACCATACCATACTTTAGGCTGCAAACTTCTCTAGGTAAAGATGGATTTGCACTTTACATCAAATTTAGACAAGATTTTCACCAAAAACTGAAAATTGAATACTGGGAGCAGCTGTTTTTCCAACTTAATGCAACTTCAGTAACAACTGATTGGCATTATAACACACAAACATGCTGCTGAAACTCCAAATCACCAAGGACCTAAGGGACACATGATGGTTGGTTTCTGGACTCGACCAACCGATATAAATTGTTGTATGAAGAAAATGCGGCTTCTCGTTGCAATTATTTCAAAGATAAGAAACTTTCACTTGCCTCTGTGCAAAGGAGAAGTTCTTGCTTCCCGTTCCATCTCAATGTTATAAGATGCACACGAACTTCCAAATTCAAGACATGGGCACAGATAGCTATTAGATGTTTCCTATTGAAATTTGTAGCTGGTCACCTGAACTGGCATAAATTTCTCATATTTATGTCTAAAAATCGTATACACCAGCAGCTTAACGAGCAAAGGTTATCTTCTCAACCATCATTGATTAAACATAACTCAACGAAAACCATAATCCAACTAAGCTGACCTGAGCCATACTCCAATCTAAAATAGACCAAATATCCTCTTTACCCTTTCTCTACTATCAAGTTTACAACATTTGACATTATTTTCTGCAAACATACTCTTACTAGAAACAAAAGCAATTTGGAACTTACACAAACCGCAGAATGTTCCATGACTCATTCAAACATCTTTAAGCTTGAGTTTTAAATGATATAAAGGCACCGCAGATAATCTATACAAGAGCTTCTAGGAAACTGGCTAGATGAGTTAATGAAAAAAAGATTTCTCGGTATCTGCGAATCAGAAAAACAAGAAGTAGGTTTTAACTTGCAATAACAACTGGAACTCTTAACGTAGTTTGGTTGTAAAAGGATACAGTGGTCCATATCCCTATATCATTCCAAGAAAGCTACTGATACATGAAAAGTTACCAAGACAATATTTTTATTACTAGGGTACACTCTTATAGGAATTCCAAGATACTGGCAACGAAATTGAATTTGATGTGTTATTCCACTCCTAGGATACGCTCTTAACAGAATTTCATCTTTCTGCACAACACAATCAACAAAAGAATCAAAAATCTTTTCAACAACAATTACTCACTTTTCATGTTCATTTAAACTGGAAAATTCTTACAACCGACCTTGCCCATTTTTGATATAACTTCCAACAAATTTCTATATCCCTAACCATTGATACACCAGGTACTTTCCGGTCAACATCCGATGCAGCATAAACACAGCAGGTCCATACTTTGACTGATCATGACCAGATCTAACGTGATATTTTCCCATTCTGGAGCTGAACCGAAGTGGTATGCGATGTAAGTTTTCCTAACCTCGTGTTTGGTAAAAGCGTTCACCAGCTTGGCAGCTACTTTGTGTGTGTTGGGTTTTTGATACCCAATAAATTCCGAGTTATGATGTTAACATGGGTTAATATTATTTTATAGGCATAGGCCGATGAATGAAATAAGTCTAATAACCAAGTCCATGAGCTAAACCCGGTCCAATTGTATTTTCTTATAGATGGCTTGAATCTTGGCCTGTTTACCTCTTTAATGGCCCAACTTAAAACCTAACCCTAGAGTATATATTTGACTATAACTCTAGTCACTTTCTGATGATGATTGTGTGATTTTGAGAGAAGAAAAAGTGAATCCCGGTTGCTCCCCTTTGTGTGAGAAAAAAGGTGTCCAGAAGTGTCCAGAACGCTTGTATAACGTGTGCAATTGGTGCTTCCTTCATAGTATACCTTTGTGGTGTCTTCTCCTAGCCTTTGTGGCCATAAATCATTATCCTTTCTTGTCCTACGTGGGTAAGATTGAATAACAACCAAGGTGAATCAATTGGTTGTGGTTTAAAAACGATTGGACTGGTTGTTGGTTGAGAAAAGTGCGTTGGATTGAGCCCGAAAATCACCAATTTGAAGATCTTTCAAGAGAGCTTCCGCAACAATTGGTATCAGAGTTTCAAGGTGGTGGTTTTGGCTCGTGAAACATACCAAAAACTTCCAAAAATCGCAGTAGAAATCAGATTGAAGAAGCTGTCCAAAAACTGTCAAAATCAGTCTCCGTTTTTCGCGTTTTCTGATCAATCCAGAAGAAGTTTGGGAAAACGAAGACCACTGATGTGACATGCAGGTGGAGGAGAACCCTGCAGGGCTACGCATGTCGATCTATGATGGCGCGTGTGACGGCACGTAAGGTCCGCGCGCAGAAGAAAGAAGGCGCGCGTGAGGGCGTGTGGATTAGAATTTCAATGAGGTCCCTTCAGGCAGTTTGTTCCTCATATTATTTTTGACATTTTTCGTGTTGAAAGTTTTCTGTTTCAGAGTACGCAGTAGAATCTGGACAGCGTTGTTTTTCGAGCATTCGGGACTCGATCGTGGTTTTTTGGTTGCTACAGTTTCCAGAGACTTTAGGACGAATAATGGTGGTCCTAAAGTGATAAATTTGTAACTCTCATAATTTACGGACTCAGATAGGTTCGCTCTGGTATATTGGGTTAACTCGATTTAAATTTCAGCATTAGCAGATTATCGTATGGGGTGATCGTTAGGATTGTGGGTTGTCATTGCTTGGCAACCATTGCTTGTGCTAGAAAATTTAGGATTTATTTACTCTATTTTGAAGTGTTGAACTTTGATTGCAAGTTGATAGTTGATTTTGTGCTTATTTGTCATATAGTCACTGTGTGAGACTTGTTGCGTGAAAATTTGAAATTTTTGTTTATATACCTTCGTGTTTGCATTAATTATCCAATTAGAACACCTACACTTGACCTGTTCAAACATTCCCTTGATCTATGATCGTGAATCTTACGAAACCATAGGAATCTAGAACGGTGTATATTGCGACCTTAGGATTACTTTGTGTGACTTATTTGTGACTTGGTTGTTCTGTTTTTATTTTCTCCTTAAAAAATCTTTTCACACTTTGAAGTTGAAATTTTTAATGAGAAAGGGAATTTTTCAATTTGGCAACAAAAGATGAAAGGTATTTTAGTCCAACAAAAAGTTTCAAAAGTCATAGATGGCAAATTTCCTGCAAATTTAACAGAAGTACAAAAAGAAGAGTATGATGAATTTGCATACACTTCAATTATTTTACACCTGTCTGATATTGTTTTGAGAAAAGTAGGAAAACTGGATTCTACAAAACAATTTTGGGAAAAGTTGGAGGACTTATATTTGCTTAAGTCAACTCCTAATAAATTGTACTTGCTTGAACGATTTTTCAACTTTAAAATGGACCCTTCAAAGGATCTTGATGATAATCTGGATGTCTTTAACAAGTTAGGTCAAGACATCGTTAATTGTGATGAAGAGGTATCTGAAACGTATAAGGCTATTATCCTACTTAATTCCATGCTTGATTTATATAGGGAAGTTAATAATGCAATTAAGTATAGTAGGGATACCTTAACGCCCAAGATTGTTATAGACTCACTTAGGAGTAAGGAGATAAAGATTAAGGCTGAAAAAGAGGATAAGAAGAGCGGCGAGTTACATATGATGAGGAGTAGGATGAAATTTAAGCAAATGAATTTGAGTAGAACTCAAGACGGTAGTGATTCGAGTAGTGACTCGAGTGATGAGGGTAGTAAGAAGAAGGGCAAGGGACGAGACAAATCTAGTAGTAGAAGGTGTTACAATTGTGGTAAATCTAGACACTTTATTAGGAACTGTCTCAAAAAGAAAGATAAACTGAAGGGTAAGATGAGAGGTGAGACAAATTTGGTTGAGGGATCGAGTTATGACCCCAATGAGATTTATTAAGTGTAAACCTAGTAACTGCATATGAGACGTGTGTGATCCTTTTCTGCATGTGTGTGATTGTAATTGTCTAAATTTTGTTGCTTGATTATCTGCTACATCTCAATGTGTTTGATATGTGCATTTGTATGAATTTGGGACATAAGGATTACTTGGTGTAATTACTTGCATGCATAGTGGGTCAGAATGCATTAGCAGTGTGTTGTGTGTCTTTTGATAAGGTGGAGTATAGATGTGATCAAATGTCTAGAATTCTTTATTTGGAAAGAGACCCTGATTAGGTAGAGTGTGAGAGGAGCACTTCTATCACTTCTGTTAGGTGGAGACCCATTATCTACATAGGTTGGGAGAAGTGAGGTGGAGATAGAGGATTATCCCTTAAACTTAGGATCTATTGTGACTTGCTAGTTAGACATGAGTTGAGTAATCTGTTTAGTGAGTTTGGTGGGCGATGAGAGGAGATATGTGTTCTCGATGTGTGAGCAATATGAAATGGGATAGGATAAGTGTGGTGAGATCTTTTCTTAGGGTCATTTATGCATGTGTTGCATATGTGATTGGCCGTGGTTTGATTGACTTGGTGTTAATCTATGGTTCTACGTGAACATGTTTCTGAAAAGATCTGTGTATGTTATCCTATAGTATATTGTCATCGCACCTGTATTTGCTCTTGATTGTTTACTGTTAAATATTTGCTTCTACTTGAGTGTTTTTGACCTTAGCCACAGTGAGTACATGAAACAGGTATGTATGTGTTTCAAGTTGGAAACACGAGGTAAGGTCTGTGATCCAATTTTATTGGCTACCTTGATTATGCAAGTGTTAATTGTGTGTTTTGATTGCTTGCAGATTTATTGGGCATCAAGGTGGAGATTTGTTGGGTTTTTGATATCCAATAAATCCCGGGCTATGATGTTAACGTGGGTTAATATTATTTCATAGGCATATGCCGATGAATGAAATAAGTCCAACAACCAAGTCCATAAGCTGCACCCGGCCCAATTGTATTTCCTTATAGATGGCTTGAATCTTGGCCCGTTTACACATTTGATGGCCCAACTTAAAGCCTAACCTTAGAGTATATATTTGGCTATAACCCTACCACTTTCTGATGATGATTGTGTGATTTTGAGAGAAGAAAAAGTGAATCTCGGCTGCCCCCCTTTGTGTGAGAAAAAAGGTGTCCAGAAATGTCCAAAACGCTTGTATAACGTGTGCAATTGGTGGTTCCTTCATAGTTTACCTTTGTGGTGTCTTCTCCTATCCTTTGTGGCCATAAATCATCATTCTTTCTTGTTCTACATGGGTAAGATTGAATAGCAACCAAGGTGAATCAATTGGTTATGGTTTGGAACCGATTAGACTGGTTGTTGGTTGAGAAAGTTGCGTTGAACTGAGCTCGAAAATCACCGATTTGAAGATCTTTGAAGAGAGCTTCCGCAACAGTGTGACTTGGTGATAATTGTAACACCAATTGTGCCACGATCAAGCCTATTAGCTAGATGGAGTTCTCGCAAGTTTACTTGATCCCATAAAAAAAATTAAACAAGTGTAAATTATGTCCACATGAGTTAGCATTCATCACATCAAGCAAATTACAATATAACTTTTTGTCCTTCGATAAGAATTTGAGACAATCACGATCGCTATACCCAACAGAAGAGGGCTACATTTGAATCAGTAAAAGACTAGTTGGAAAAGTATGCTGCACGCATTATCCGATGATCTTCTCTAGTTCATTCTCAAAACATATGTGAAGGTGGTTTGCTGAAATGTTTTGACGATTAATAAGCTTCAAAAAATTCTATGCAATGATTCATCATAATATATCTACCCCCTAATTGCGTAATAGAATGGAGACGGAACATCATTTAAGTACAATCTTTTTAGTTTTGTTAAATTGATGTAGTTGCAAATTAGAAAGATAAAAGTACTGTTAAATTTAGTTTATATCATTTTCATGAAAATAATAACACTGTGTAATTATGACGCGGGATGTTATGTGAGAATTATAGGAGAAGGGGATAAGGTAAAGAAGAAGAGAGGAGGGGAAAAGAGAGAAGAAGAGGGGAAGAGGAAGATAGAAATTGGGGGAGAGAAATCAATTTATTTCATTTATTCAAAGTTGCTTTATTACAATGTAAAAGAGCCCTTTATATAGGGTTTGAAATATTCTAACTTAAGAAGGAGAATATCTAATAAAAGAAATTAAATTAAACCTAATTATATTTCATAAAATACGACTTAAAATTAGAAGCTAAACATAATAATAGTCCCTCTAATATTGCATCGTTTCTCCCAGGCTGAGAGAACTCAACTCCGGCGAGATAGACTGGTACCTCATACTCCAAGGAGGTCGATCTTTTGTCTTCATTAAATGCTCATACTGGACCTTGGACAACAACAACTTGTTGAACTCACACCAAGGAGGCTGATCTTTCTTAAGAACCAAGTACCTGATCATTTGACATCAACTAGATTTGCAAAGCATCCCCAAGAACATGATGTAACCAAGGGGGACGATTTCTTTGTCTAACCAAATAGCGATACGGACTTCAAAAAGCAACAACTTATGCAATTCATCCATAAAGTCTTCAAATGATTGTTCATAATGAGTAGTACAAGGATCTAGTAAGGTAAAGTGGTCTGCGAAAACAAGTGAGTGCAACAATGGTTGCTCGAATGTACCCTGGTAAGGAAACAATTCTGCTGTATTGAAAACAAAATTCTCATTTAAGTATGATGGCCAATCAAACAGTTGAAGTTCAAGTGAGAACTTCAATCTTTTCTTTACATGTGTGAGAAAAGTGTTTCAACGAACAATGACATCAGATAATGTGGTAAGTCAAGAAGCATCACAAAGTGGAGGTAGAACCCTATCAAAGTCAACATCAAAATCATGCAACAAATTAGGCAAAATCAACTTTGGCACATAATTGAGGATAGGTGGACTGTTTGACTCAGGTTATAACACTATAGATAATTTCTCATCCTCGCTATCGGAATATTCAATTGGCTCAACAATGAAAACTTCATTATCTTTCTCAAAAGGAATACAACTACACTCGAGAAGTGATTGTTTGGACTGAGATGACATTCCTAGCTTATGACATACTTGGCGAAGATAAAAGAACATCGATTTAATACAAAACTCAAAAAATGCTCTAAATCAAAACAATTTTGTACAAAATTAAATGCCTGTTCAATTGAGCGTGAGTTAATAGAATCATTCTTAAGTAGAGAATGACAACATAGAGGACACTCTTACAGTAAATTCCTGAAACTTATTGATAGCAATAATCCACTCATCTATAAAAAGAACATTATTTCTATCAAGAGAAAAAAAAAATTGATGATTTTGAAAAAGCTGACAAGTCCCTTTTCAACTCTGTCTTCTTCGATATGGATGGCAATGGTGGGGAAGGTGGCACTGGCTAATTCTGCAGAGTTTTGGGGTGACTACTTATTTGTAGGCACTATCCAATTTTTATGTTGCCAATTACTTGTTTCACCTATGCATAAAAGCTAAGTAGTTTTGATTCTTTAGAACCTTTTAGAGTATGTTTTCTACATCATACATTAATGTAAAATTCAACGTTCAAGATTTACGTTGTAGAAACATTAGGTTCAACGTAAGCCATATAAAAGTGAACAATACTAGCATTTGGTTTCTCAAACTCCACAAACTTTCGCCTTAGGCGTGGTACGAAAAGAATAGAGAGTTATATTGAACTTAAAAAGTCATAATCAAAACATTAATCCCAATCAGATTGAAGCTCCTCCCAACTATTAGTTTGAACCAAAGGAAAAGAGCAGTTCTATTCCCAAATGATGGAAAGCCCAAAAACATGTAGAACATATAAGGGATTATCACTAGATACTTACACTTATCCCTATAAAGCAAATTCTCTATTTTCAACTTTCATTTGTAGATCTTAAAATCAGCTATATGTTGCATTTGGAGTTGAAAAATCACCGACGGGCAACAAGTATTGATAAGGCATTGTTGATTCCATCTTTACGCTTTCACTAGAATCTTGATGAGATAACGAATTCATAGGATCTGAGTAGAGGCCAAACAGCACTGGATTCTCAAATGTATCATGATTTACTTGTATATCTGTGCTTTGATAGTCTATATCCAACTGATTCGCAAATGATGCATTGATTGGATTGACATCCAATGGCTCAATCAATGGACACATCAATTTCACACTTGTGAAAAATGCTCCTTCATTAGAGCCTACGAATTGATGGTCTCCTAGCAAATGGTTCTCAATTTCATTTAGGACACTCGTATTTAGACTAAATACCCCAACATCTTCCGCTGACATAGAATTCAGTGGACTAAAAACATAATTGGCTTGTGATTCATCCCAAGCAACATTTTCTCCTTCATTGCAAACTCTTTGTCTTTCATTCAGAAATCTATAGTTTCTTGCTTTTTCATCCGAAGAAATTAGTTTTATAGGTGACCTTGTCATTATTTCAAAATCCTCAATCTTGCCAGTGATGGAAGGAGCACGATGTGTTTGATGAGAATACTGCATTCTAGGATCAAATTCTGATTGATATCCATTCAAAGTGAAAAAAGATTGTGAACATCCATAGACAACCGAGTCAAAATATGGGGACTCCTGGCTAGGGAAGGGCTTCTGGCTTAATGAGAATAATCGTTGATCACATTGCAAAAGCTTCTCGTAGTGTTTATCGAGCATCCCCGGAGCAAAACTCACATAATGTCTCCTTGTAAAAAATAAAGGCAAAAGCAAGAGAAATCATCCATTAAGAACATAAATATGATTTATGAAGTTAAATTTTGACTACTTGAAAAATCTTTATACATAATATAGTTATTATTTGTGACACAAACAAATCAATAGAACACGAAAATGCAAAAAAAAGGTAAAGAAATGGACTAATAGTTATAACTGAAGTATTGCGGCAAATGATTCAAACAAATTTCCCTCTTTTAATTGCAGTGATGTTGAACACAAACTTACACTTTCTTGCCATCGAATATGCGGACTATTTTCTTTGAAAATCAGAAATTACAAGAATTTACTTAAAACATTTCAGTTCATTTCTTGGAAGATCAGAAAAAAGGAATGAACAAATAAAGCTAAACAACTTAAACTTCTCAAATTATAAAAAAACGTTGGATACCTGAAAATGGAAGCTTGACCACCGGTAAAATCCAATGTTTGGTGCCAAAGAGTATGCTTGCGCGGTTGGGGATTGGTTTCTCCGAAGAACAAAGGTGGTTTGTTCAACTGCATTCAATTTGCAGTAGCATTTAGCTGATTATCAACTAATAATTCTTTGATTTTTCTAACTTCTTTGATATCTTTGAAAGCGAGAAAATAGATTAATGCAAAAGGGATTTACCTCAATCTGGAGAATTCCTGATACGTTATCACGGATAATGGCTCTAATTGCAGTAATATCAGACCATTGTATCTCAATCTTGCTCTTCAGTGCCCCACCCAACACTTCCCAGACCATTTTGTGTTTTGCATAGTATAACTTGGCTGTCAAATCGCCTTCATGCTCAGAAATCCACTGCTCACATTCCAAATACGTTAAGAAAATGCGATTCTAGCCAAGTTTCAAGAAATTATTTTGAATAAAAATCATTGTACAAGAGCTATATACCTGCCAATTTCCAATTCTAAGTAAAATTGCAGGGAAGTTCGTAGCCTTTAATTTCTCCGAACATTTTGTTTTAGGACTATGTTGTCCCAATCTGGGATTGCTCTCTGATGAACAATCTTCTTTCCTCCATTGGGATAACTTCATCTCCAACAAATTCATAAAAGATGGCGTCTTGCGCAGTTTCAAACCAAGAGGACTTGAATCTTCACATGAATCTACATCTCCTTCCTGCGAAATTTAACAATTAACTTGAAATAAGGGCACAATCAAATTGAAAATGGGCTAAATATTTGCAAAAGCAAAACAATAGCTAGAAACAAACATCAAATAGCGGAGACTAGAAATGAATAACAAGGCATGTAAAAAATTAGGGAGAACCTGCGGAGTAAATTCAGGTGAAAGCCTCATTCTCTTGGAAATGGAGCATTGTTCAAAACCCAGAATTCCAGAGTCTTCTTCATCATTTTCTTGATTTACAAAGTCTACCAGAGGATAATTTTGGAATTCTTCAGTGGAGAATTCTACACAATTCTCATTCCAAAATGCAATTCCCTCGACCATTTTGGCTTCGAATGTTTGTTTCTTCAATGCAATTTTCTCAAGTTTTTGCTTTGGGTATATATAAGAGAGATTTGGCAGAATCTTAAAAGTAGTTTGAATTAAAAAAAATGGACTCTTTTTTTATGTGGGACCCTCACCTAATCACAAAACCTCTTAGAATATTCATTTGTGGGACATATTTTCATTTGGCGGCTACACGAGACTGTAACAAACCTCTGGATTTCTGGTTGTTGAGAGAGGTAAATTTTTCCAGTGTGCAAAAACAGAGTAAATATTAGGAAGAATTGCAATACTGGTCCCTCAACTTATTGATCATGAGAGAATTTTATCACTGATATATGTTTCTTTTGCAGCATAGTCCCCAACCTGTGTTTTGGTGCCATCTGTCCAGGTAGTCCGCGATAAATTCTATCCATTTAACAAATTTTCAACTGTTAAGAATCAAATTTTAACTAAAAAGCTATTTTGTCTTTATTTTGAATTAAATAAATAGAAAAGGGAAAAGAAAAAGAAAAAGGAAAAAGGAAAAAATATTCCTATAGCTTCACCAACCTCAAACAGTCAAAGTGTCAAACCCCACTATCTACATGGAATGGGGCAAAAAAATGCATTTTAATACTCAAGAATTAAAGAATAGAGTTTGCAAGAAAATTCTTAATTTCTACTCAAGAACACACTTAAATATTGGATAGAGAGCAAATGAACTCTCCCCCTATTTAAACTGTCACCTACTACAAATGAGCAACGAAAATTAGCTTATGTTTGGTTCAGCTAAAAAATTAATAAAATTTTAAATTAAAGTTTATAAATAACACATTTGATAGGAATCACAACTTTTCAATCACATATACCACCAGCTTTTGTCAAAATCTAGTAAAAACTACCTTTTATTTAAATCGAACTAGGGCTTAATTGATCCAACAGTTAAGAAAACCTCTCTAAGACATTCTATCATATCTACGATAGTTACATATTCGTAGGGTTTCTTAAAATATATTGAAAAGAAAATACGACATTGACATTGTAAGTTTTAATATTAATGAGCTTTTTCCTGAAATCACCATGAAGAATATATTTAAAATTTATAGGCCCTGTTTGAGCCTCATTATTTTCTCATTAAAATGAAAAATTTGATCTTTATCCATCACATCAAACCACCATATTTGACTTTTTATGATTTTATCTCTTATGTGGAGTCCATAACGATTATATTTTTCATTCTCATTTTTACAATAATGTGGCTCAAATGGGGACATAGTAGAAGTTATCAAATAATTTGGAGCATTAAATTAACAAAGTTAATATAAATTTTCACACGCACCCAAAAAAAAAAAACCTTCTACTTCCACAATTAATTTCATAATTCCTCATTCTAAACTTTGTAAAGTTTGTATAATAGCTATTTCCTCTTTCATTTTGAAGGTAATTATAAAGCAATTGAATTTTATATTGCGGCGGCTTTGAAGTGATTGATTTGAAAAAACTGGTGACACATGATTGAAGTGCAACCCCATGATATGACACATGATCATTGGATGTCATTTTCACAAATTGTCTTTTTACTGTTTATAGTCCATTATGCAGAAATGGACAAAAATTTGATATCCACAGCTGATGTGATACATATACATCGACAATTTTTTTTTTTTTTTCCTTGCTAAATCGATACCACATCAATTGTGAATATTATAAGCTTCTATCATTATGGATAGGAGATCACTTCTAATCTCCTTCATAATACTTTTCATTTAAAGATTAGTAACACTTCCCAAATATGCTCGATTTGTAGAAAAGAGACGTATATTATCAAAAAAACGTAAAATTTATAATAATTCTTCTATTTTTGGAGTTGTTTGCACAGAGGAAATAAAAGATAGCAACAAAGAGAACAAGTCAAACAATAATTGGGGAAGCATTCCAATAAATTCTCTCTATTTAGTCAAAAAAAAACCTCTTCATAGAGAAATTTAGGCTATTTTTTTTGTCCTCAAACTTACAATTTTTCTGTAAACATGAAGTTTTAAAATATTTTGACGCCAATTCTTTCTTAGCCTATCACATTTTCTATATGTATTTGTCAATTCACAAAGTAATTAATTATAAAATATTGTAAAATTGAAGTTATTTGTATGAGTAAAATAAAGTGCAAATGAAAGAAAAGGTGGTGGGTAGAGAAAATCTATTCATATATAAAAAGGGTATTTTACCATGTGAGGATTTCAAGGAGTATTGGATACCAAATCTTTGTGTTTGGAATGGATAATGTTTAGGTCTTGAGGCTTGATGCTCACGAGTGATCCTTTTCTCTCTATTCTAATACTTTCAAAAGTGATGGATGATGTGTTTTTGACTAATGATGCATATAATATATAGATATGATTATATTTGGCACTACCCATAATTGAAAGGGATTGTTTTCAAGTCTAGATCCAGAAATAAAAATAAATCATCTCGGTGGAAAGATAAGGAGTTGCGACAGCAGAGTATTAGAGATTGCTGATCATCTTCTTGTTTTTAATTGTATATTATGAGTCTCAAGAATTTCAGAATCTTCGATGGGAAAAAGAAAAAAAAAATTATCCATTACTAATACCCTCTCGCTATAAAAGGAAAGAACGAGTATTATATTGATTTATATTCTTTGCATTTTTTCTTGGTGGAAGTGTGAAGAGCATGGTCCCATTTACTTTATAATTGCGAACAAGATTAGCACAACCCCAATCAAGACAAACATGTTCCCTTTTTCTCCACATCCATCGTTCATTTTTGAATTTTAGGATATTATTCGTATCTATTGTTCTCATCTCTATGTTTAATAGACTATCCTATCAATTAAATAATTTTAAAGTGTCTATTTGTTGTAGTGTGACCCAAATTCTTAGGGTTTTAGGAGTGGTAGTTGGGTTGATCTTAGAGATATCAAGTTATGGAACGGGTGCAAAATACACCGCATTTTTGTTAGCTGGATGCTCAAGTGAAACCATCAAATTGGAGCAGAGAGTTGTCGCCCACTTCTCGCCTGCATGTTGCTCGACGCCGCTCGAGAGAGGTCTTTCCCGACTTTCTCGCGTTTTGGACTCATTCATCTACAACTAGGTTTTTTGGCTTCTCTATAAATACATAATGTCATCCATTCTATTAAAAGGGAATTTTCATGAGTTTGAGAGAACCAACAACATCTTAAGATCTTAGATTCAATTAAGAGTATTGAGTTTTGATGTTGTAAACACATTCCTATTGTTTGTAGTTAATCTTCTCCTTCTCTATCCGTGGTTTTTTTCCGAATTGGATTTCCACGTAAATTTCTATGTTATTTACTTTTCTGTTTTATTTTATTATAAATTTGATTGAAAAGACAGTCAAGAAAACATAGAGATGAGGACAACATATTTGGGCTCATTGGCGTAATAGAGAACTAGTTGCCTTCTTGATATCCATGACATATTGAACTTGGAAAGAAACTGAACACCCACAAGGCCTTGACGGCCTTAAAAGGAAGGGCCGCATCGGGATAATAGACAATGAGCAGTCCAACTAGAATCCCAATGTCTGGAAGTAGTAGGGAATAACAAAGCTTGTCGTGTTGGAGTCTGATGTAACTCTTGACAACATTTCTTCGAGTATCTTGTATTTATATCAATAAGATCCGTTAAATATCTGTACTACTCTATTAATCACATGACTTGTCTGACATAATTTCTTATCATCGTATCATGACATTCTTCCATGAGAAGAAAAGGACCCCATAATCTAGATTTTTTTGCATGAGAAGAAAATAATCTCACAATCTAGATGAATCACGCTCATAATCCTTGTAGGGTCCTACAAGCTTGATTACTTTCCGTCATATGGAGTATCATTTCCAAATGGGAATTGGCATTTGGCCTAAATTTTATCCATTAACATGTGTCATTCATAACTCTATTCTCCTAGTGGTTGTGTATCTAATTGCAAATCTACTCATCTCACAGATAAATCTAACTCGTGGGTCCTACTTTTATATGATTTCATTTCACTTTTTTTCCTCCTCTCATCATATCATAATTAATGTAATCATAAATTACTTCCTTTTTCTTCTCTTGTCATCATCATTAAAGCAAATATAAGTTAATCTTAACTTAGAAGATCACGTGTCAACATTTATTAAATTAATCTTTCTTTAGAAGAACAAGAGAGGATGAAATCTTAGTGGACCCTTTTTAATGGAATAATTTAAGCCATGGAAGATTGGATTAGGGATTTCTTTCAAATTCGAAGTCTACAAAAAATAATGTAGACAATGAAAATGCTTGGAAGGTTATCTCATTTTCAAAAGAAGATGCAAATCATGGTTTTTGTCTAATCTTATTTGATGTGGAGTGCATCGATAAAGAAGTTGATCATTAGATGACGAACCTAAAATTAATAGTCAAATAATATGGCATATATGAATGGTATTCGTCTCTTTTTATCATCTTTGAGTTTTTGAATTAAATATGATTGAATAAGATTGAAGAATAAAGGTACATATATGAGATATTTATATGTTATCATGTATGTTTGACCTGTTCGGTCGAAGTTCATTATTGATTAAAACAGAAAATATTATGAACTTTATTATAACTCATCAAATGGAGAATGATGATTATAAGTTCTTATAGTAAATTTTTTGGTCTAACAAGGTACAAATTTTTTGTCTTGGAGGGATAAATTTTGTTCAAATGACATATGGCCTTATTTTTAATTTATTTTTTCAATAGTCAAAATCTCTGCCTAATTAAAACTTTAGTTTTCTTTATTTGTTCATAACTTTCTTGGACTGGTGACACCAACCCACTAACGTCCACTTTAAGACCAAATTTTATAAAGAAGTGTGACAAAATGAAGCATTTTAAGGTCCCTACTTCTGGAAACATGGATGTAAATACTAGATGGCGTCAGGAAGTTAAAGTGTCCATGAAAGATGAACTTGATAGCATGTTTGATACTAACTACAGAGTATGACTGGACAGTATAATGTATAAAAATTTAATATATTTGTTACTGTAAATCGAATAT